CCACCTCTGCTCTTTGCAGATGATGTGGTCCTGTTGGTGTCATCTTGCCGTGATCTTCAGCTCTCAATGGAGCGGTTCACAGCTGAGTGTGATGCGGCTGGGATGAGAATGAGCACCTCCAAATCTGAGGCCATGGTCTTCAACTGGAAAATGGTGGATTGCTCTTTTCGGGTCGAGGGTGAGGTTCTGCCTCAAGTGGAGGAATTCAAGTATCTCGGGGTTTTGTTCACGAGTGAGGGAAGAATGGAGTGTGAGACGGACTGATGGATTTGTTCTATGTCTGCAGTATTGCTGACTCTGTACTGGTCCATTGTGGTGAAGAGGGAGCTGAGCTGTAAGGCAAAGCTCTCTGTTACCAGTTGGTCTACGTTCCTACCTTCACTTATGGTTATGAGCTGTGGGTAGTGACCGAAAGAATGAGATTGCAGATACAAGTGGTTGAAATGAGTCTCCTCTGCAGGGTAGCTGAACTCTCCCTTAAAGACAGGGTGAGAAGTTCAGTTATCCAGGAGAGACTCGGAGTACAATCGCTGCTCCTCCACATTGAGAGGAGCAAGTTGAGGTGGTTCGGGCATCTGGTAAGGATGGCACCTCCCTAGGGAAGTGCAATAGGCATGTCTGACTGGGAGGAGACACCGAGGAAGACTCCGGACACGCTGTAGAGACTATGTCTCTTGTTTGGCCTGGGAACGCCTTGGGGTCCCCCAGAAGAGCTGGAAGAGGTGGCTGTGGAAAGTGATGTCTGAGCCTTCCAGCTCAACTGCTGCCCCCGCAACCTGACTTTGGAAAACGCAAAAGATAACTGATGGATGGATGGATGGATGGATGGATGGATGGATGGATGGATGGATGGATGGATGGAGTATAAAGCTTAAAGCTTGGTAAAAACCAAATTCTGCTTATCAGCACAAAAACCTCTAACAAACTGTCAAGTTCAAGTCAATTTTATTGTCATTTCCATCACATGTGGTACATGAGGTGGAACAAAATTATCTACACAGAATCCCAGTTACACCCAACAATAGCAAAAATATAAAGTGTAAAAATAAATGGTATATACACCAAACAAATGCCAAACAGTACACTAAAAGATCGGTACGCTAAACATCAATACTGTAAAACAATACTGCGTAACAACAACAGCACGAACATGAGTCTGTGGTGAGCAGATGGGCATGAATAAATACAGCGGCATGGGATCAGTAGCAGCATGGGATCAGCAGCAGCATGAGATCAGCAGCACAGATGTCACATATCACCAATTAAAGTGGCATCACCGTGATTGTTTTTCCCCTTACAGTGAGAGTCTAACAGCTTCAGAGTAGAAGCTGTTCCTCAGTCTAGTGGTTCTACACTTAATGCTCCTTAACCTCCAGCCTGAGGGGAGTGGGGCAAAAAGTGGGTGTGCTGGGTGAGTGGGGTCCTTCATGTTGCAGATGGCCCTCTTCCTGCATCTGGAGGTGTAGATGTCTGTGATGGTGGGGAGACTGACTCTTACAGTCTTCTGTGCAGCCTTCACCACTCTCTGCAAAGCTTGTCTTTCTGCAGAAGATGCTCTCCACTGCACACCTGTAGGAGGTGAGGACTGAGCTTCCCAGACCAGCTTGCCTCAGCCCCCTGAGGAAGTAATGTCTCTGATGAGCTTTCTTGATCAGGCTGGTAGTGTTGTTGCCCCAGCTGAGGTTGTCATTCAGGTGCACACCCAAGTACTTGTAGCTGGAGACCACCTCCACCGCAGATCCTTCTATGTTCAGGGGGGTAGATGTGTTTGGTCTGTCTGAAGTCCACGACCATCTCCTTCATCTTCTTCACATTGATGCGAAGGTTGTTCTTTCTTCACCAGCTCTCCAGATGTTCCACCTCCTGCCTGTAGCTGGACTCATCATTGTTTGTGATGCATCCAACCACCTCTGTATTGTCTGCAAACTTTACATAATGACAACCTGGACGGGTAGGTGCACACGGAGCATGGAGGTGGAGAGGTGATGTTTTGGGTTTGTTTGGCATTCATGGAAGACGGACACTGTGCAGTCATTTGACTGTAAAATCCTCTATATGCTATATGAAAAGGTGGCCCTAAATTCAAGCAAGTGTATGAAACTAAACATATAATGTTTATTTTGATTGGCATTGCCTTTTCCAGCCAATACAACTTTTTTTAAATCCCCTTTAACATTTGTCAGACCAAAATAAGGCTAATGAAGGCATTTCTTGTTTTAAAAGATTGAACCAGCTCTTTGATTCTCCATTTGAGATGATCACCTGCACAGCAGTGAAGTTGGACTTCAGAAAATCAAAACTATCATAAATGATTCATCTTCTTTTATTGACATTTAATTGACACATTAAAATGTGTACTGAACGGAAAGCATTTTCCTCATCGACTTTCAGTAATCAATTAGAGTCCTACACAGCTGTTTTGCCAAAAATAAATAAATTAATTAAAAGAAATTAAATAAATTAGCAAGTTTTTGAAAACCTTCTGCATCTGAATGTAACTTTGTAACAAAATTATGTATTTATTGATTATTGTCTGTATTGTAAAATGAGCTTTTAATTTGACAACTTCTATTAAAATAAAACATGTTGAAATAATTTGGACACAACTCCCCTTTTGGATGACTATATCAAATTTGTTTATTCTAAATGCATGATCCAGGTTTATGGAATTTTTTGTCTTGTTTTGTTGTCTGTTTTTTCCGAGTTGTGGAACAGCTGTCAGACCCGTACAGATGCGTCAGAGCCATGCGGATGATGGTGGCGTTGCTTTTGGCTTGGGATGCCAGACCTCCTTTCAGGTTCCACCTGGAAACTTCTAGATGAGGCTGTTGGATGGAGACCGTCACATTGAGACCCGGAGCTTCGTGGACGCTGAAGCAACTCCGTTTGCCTGAGCACCATGGCTCGTGCCAGTCTCATGCTGTTTATAAAGCAACCAACATGTAAATGTGGGACTTTTGGGATCAGATTCTTTCATAAATCCCTTTCAGTTACAGCTGTCAAAACAATAGAAGACAGAAAATGACCTCTCATCTCTTTACACATCACACATTGGAAAGATCCCTTTCGGTTCTTCAACAAAGCATCACTGTGCTCTCAGCTTGCACAGATGGAAACCCACGCGGAAACCAAGACAAAAAGGTTCTAACCGAAGCCTCATGGACTTTTTTTTTCTGGGAGGGTAAGTTCGCAGACAGGACTTGATGACAGTTACGTGGGGGCCCCCATGGGACAGAGCGCGTGCAAAAGCCTCTATCTGCAAAGCTTGACAAAATAATAGGGTTAACAACCCCCACGAAGCTGCAGCGGGGCAGCTTGCATGTCGAATAAATCATTAATTTTTAAAATCTGATTCAAGCTTGATGGGGGGGAGGGGGGCATATTTTGAATATATAAGGGTCCATTTGAGCAAACATTTCATCGTGATGCACCCCTTCCCCCCAGTCTTTGTTGTTTCCTGAAGCGCTGTGAGGACGTCTGGTGCGTAAAGTTTGTGCGTAAAAACCAGTTCTTGGCACATCTGAACTTTTAATTTAAAAAGCAGCACAAATTGACCAAAATATGCATCAATTTTGTGTTTATGCTTCTATTTTTCGTCATTAAAAATGCAGAGCAAGTTTTGTTTCGTCTGTTTAGTTTTAATTTTGCTTTATTTGGTTGTTTTCTCGACTGAAACTTCCAGCACAGTTTAGTCATTAAAGGCCTGTTTTTATCACTCTGGAACTGTTGTGTCTTTGTGTTTAGATGTTATGGTACAAAAACCCGTCCCTTCTTTCTGTCCAAATAGGCTATACAAAAACGTGCGCATGCAGTGATGGTGAGAGCGCACAGGCGCTGATGGTGGGAACAAGCAGACATGAGGGGGAGGGGGCTTTGTGTGTGGAGGGGAACATGGGAGGGGAGGTAGACTGAGGAGGGGAAGGATCCCATCTGTTGAGCGGGTTTTGGCGCGTGCCAAACGCGTGAATCCCACCGTCAGCCTCAAGGTCTGTTCAGACTTTACACCAAAAGCGAAGATAAAAAATGTCACTTTTTCAAGAAAAGCCCAGCGATTAAAAATATTCACGGTTTTAGATTCGATTTTCTCTTTACAGAATCAATTTCAAAGCAGCTAGAACTATATATATATATATATTGATTTCTTCTCTTCTGAATTTAAGACGTTTCTCCGTGAAACCTTTTAAACTTATTTTTCTGTTCATTTATACATTTCTGTCTTAAATTCGGGCTTTTTTCTGCTCCTATTCCAACTTGTTGTGATCTAGTTCCCCAAGGCAGGTAAACGTTGTGTTGTTGATATGAAAACGAGCTTCTGGAGTCCATAAACAGATGTTAATCCAAACATAGCGTGGCTTGGCTGCTTCGTTCATTTTAGGAACAGATTAATCTCGACATCTCAGATTCTCTCATTTGGCGCGTCGTGTTGGTTTTGATGTGGTGGGAGGTGAGCGCAGCTCATAAGCACTAAAATAATGATTATAATGTTTTTCAATTCTTAGGTACTTCCATTTCAAAAGTTTGCAACTTTTGGATGCATGCAAAACAATTCTAAATTAATCTGGAGATCAGCTTGAAAGGAAATGTTATAGTGCAAAACTAAAAATTAATTTACAGACAACTAGGATTATAGAATTTATAATTTTATGAACATAGATGTGTTGGAAAGATATGCATTATTTGCTGTCGAAAATAAAAATCAAACAATCCGTTTCAATGTAGAGAAGAGCTGGAGAAACACTTTGAGTTTCAGGTCTTGCGTGGAGTCTCATGCGCGTTGAAGCTTTACATTTTTAACATAGGAAAGCCCAACATGATCACAAACATGCACATACCAGTGTACAAACAGTGCCTTGAAGGAACCAGATGGTCCAGAGAGGACTCACCTCCCCAGATACAGCCCCCCTCCCACCCCCCTGTGTCCTCCCATCAGCTTGTGTTCCCTCCCCTCTGACGCGCCGGAGCCAAATAAATAGGAGGCTCTCCAGATCTGAGCTACACTTGAGCCCAGCCTTTCCTTGAACAAGTCACCTAAAAAAGCACAAATGAGTCCCAGCATCCCTGCCGAGGCCAGCCAGCCTTTCCCCGCGCACTCCACCGTGGCTCAGAGAAAACAAGCTAACGAGCTCAGAAAGGTAAGAAAAAGAGAGAAACTTTCCAGCTGCGCTCACATTTAACGCTCGAGGAAGAGCAGCAAGAATAACGTTTTCAATTGTGTCTCCTAGACTCTAAAACCCCTGCTGGAGAAGAGAAGGCGCGCTCGCATCAATGACAGCCTCAACCATCTGAAGAGCCTGATTGTGCCCCTTGTCGGCAAAGACAGCGCGCGCTACTCCAAGCTGGAAAAAGCTGATATTCTAGAAATGACCGTGCGTTTCCTCAGAGATCTTCCTTCCGCTCCAGTCAAAGGTGAGCATCATGTCCAGGCCTATAAACAGAACATGATGATTATTTCCCACATGTATGCTACTTCAGATGAAAGTGCACCCAACTCATCAGATCTCTGCTCTTCTCCCATCCAGAGACCGCAGACAGTTACAGAGAAGGCTACAAAGCCTGCCTCCAGCGCGTCTCCGCTCTGCTCCCCAAGACGAGCCTGGACCAGGACGCGTGCCAGCGGGTGCACGAGTTCGTCCAGCAGTCCATGTCCACCACGGTCACACCGACCTGCCTGAACTGCTGTGCGCAGAACTCCAGGAGCTTCCCCCAGATCCAGCAGAGACTCCTGAGCCTGAAGTCCAGCTTCAGCCACAGACCGGGGAGCCAGGAGTCCCCCAGAGGCGCGGCTGCAGCCCCCAGAGCGCAGTCAGGTCCGCAGCCGGTCTGCGCAGCTGTGTGGAGACCCTGGTAGCATGAATGGACTTTCATCTAATCTGTATTTATAATGTCGTGTTTATACCATGATAGTATTAGTAACAAGTATATAGTTGAATTTATTTCAACATTTGACTCACGTTGCGTTTGTTGCCTGTTGGCAAAGAGCACAGATCTCAGAGAAACTGAAGATGTAAAGCGCAATCCTCTTTGGGGTTTCAAAGACACGAGTTGTATACAACACTTCTGTAAAACCCCAAGGGTTACTTTGTTTGAGGGTTGCACTGTGGACTTAAAACTATTTTGGTCTGTGCAACAGAAAAGTCTGTAAACACTATGTGTTACATTTAAGTTTTTATTTATTTATTTGTAAAAAAAAAAAAAAAAAACTTGTTTAGGTACATTTGAAATGTTTTGTCATGGACAAAAAGTTTGAAATAAATGTACATTTGACTCAAACGTTCATCTTCTTTGATATTATTGCTGTCTGTTTGGAATATAATTTTTGAGTCATCAACCTCTGAAGCATTCAGGGGCAGATAAAGAAAGGAGAAAGGCCACAGGTCAATAAGAGCATTCATGCTGATGAGCAGCTGCTCTATTGTTGCTGATGTGAGGCCTCTCTAACTGCCGCCAAAAATTGTGGGAACAAGTTGTCTGAGAAGAAACACACGGGGGTTAGCAGCAAAAACACAAATTCATGCTCTAAAAACATGAAAAAACACCTCTAAATTTAATTGGTTATTCTTACAGACTCAGCCCAACACACAAGTCCACAACTAATATGACAAATAATTACAAGGTTTTATTCTGGGTGAACTATTTGCTTTTATATTCAAATTTACAACTTAAATATAACAAAACTAGAAAAAGATTTAAAAAAATTCAGTAGAACATTTTTCAGTCAGCTCATCTGGACAGTCTCTTTTTTTGTGCTGCATTGGGGGAAGAATCAGTTTTGTGTTGTGTTTCCTCGACTGATGAAGCCTTCCGGATCAAAGATGAAACGTTTCAGCACAAAAAAAGAAACTGTCCAGATGACCTAATTGAAAACTGTTGGATTGTATACCTGGATTATTGAGCATGGAGTTTGTTGTTATTCATTCAATTGCTTTTATTTCAGTGTAATAAAATATACATCTATTGGTGAAGCTTTATTTGCTCTATAAAGGCCAGCTGGTGTTCTGTTACCCATGTGCTGTGCACATTTGTAATATCGCTAAAATTAGAAACATCTAAAAATGATGCAGAACAACTGATTCATGCATTTGTCACATTTAAACTGGACTATTGCAATGGTTTGTTATCTGGGTGTCCAAATACTTCTTTAAAAGGTCTTCAGTTGATCCAAAATGCTGCTGCCGGAGTCTTAACTGGAGTTAGTGGGAGAGATCATATCTCTCCACTGGCTCCCTGTCAAATCCAGAATTGAATTCAAAATCTTGCTTCTAACCAACAAAGCTCTCAACAACCTAGCTTCATCTTATATTACAGGTCTTATTATTCCATATTTTCCTAACAGAGCACTTCACTCTCAGACAGCAGGTTTACTTGAGGTCCTTAGCGTTTCCAAAAACAGAATGGGAAGAAGATCTTTCAGTTATCAGGCTCCTCTCTTGTGGAACCTACTTCCAGTTTCTGTCCGTGAGGCTGACACATTGTTCAATTTTAAGACTGGGCTTAAGACTTTCCTTTTTGATAAATCCTATAGTTAGGGTCGGCTTGGGGTTCCTGAGCTGTTCCTTAGTTATGCTGCTATAGGCTTAGACTGCTGGAGGTCAAACTGATCACATTTCTCCACTCTGCGACTGTCTTTACTTACTCTTCTCAACCTGTTTTGTATTTGTAATATTTTTTTTCTATCTTTAACATGTGTTGTTTTGTCTTTCAGGTACACCTGCACCTACCTGGACCTGCCATTATGTGTTAGTTTGCCTCTATATTCTGTCCTCTCAAACCCAGCCGGTCAAAGCAGATGGCCGCTTGTACTGAGCCTGGTTCTGCTGGAGGTTTCTTCCTTTTAAAATGGAGTTTTTCCTTTCAACTGTTGCCACTGTGCTTGCTCAGGATGGGAGACTGCGACGAAGTGAAGATTCAACGTGTCTGCTGGCCTCCTTAGAAAAAGAACTTTACTAATTGACTTTTCTATGTTTGTGAATGTTCCTGTAAAGTGCCCTGAGACAACTTTGTTGTGATTTGATGATATATAAATAAACTGAATTGAACTGGAATTGTTTGTTGCTAGATTACCTTGTATCCAATTCTCCCTTGTTCCACCTTTTAATGTTAATATGGCTAACCAAAAAGTTAGCTTCGCTAACACTAAATTGCTAAACAGGTAAAAAATAATAATAAATTGCGGAAGCGAACACTAAACTACTAACAGCTAAAACTACTGTCACTCAGTCTGCATCACATGTCTTTGTCTCCATCCAGCTGAAGCAGCATCGACCAATCACGTCACATGTACACAGAGTAGCCAATAGAATGCCTAATGACGCTTCAAGACACACCCCCAAAACAGACAGGAACAAACTTGAGAATTTTGTTAGAGGAATCAAAGTCGGCAAAACCTAATTTGGTGGAAGCTAATTCTGCCAAAGTTTTTGCTAATCCTCTAAACGAAAATTAGTTCTGCTACTAGCTGTTAGCGGATTAGCAGAACTGTGGCCAACCCACAAAGGTGGGCACAGTTTGGGCACAGGAGTGTCCACTTTCCACCTGCTGTCTCAACCTCCACACTTTGGATCTTCAGTTTATTTCACCTGATGCTTAGTGTTGCATAAAATAAATATCCTTTCAACATCTCTTTACTCAAATTAGCCACTTTGAAGACACAAGAAGATTTTTAAACTGCTCTTTATTTGCAAGTGTAGATGTCACGAGGAAGCTTTCACAGATGTACAAATGTAGCCTCGTCAGTGACAATCTGCGCTGGACAGAGAGGCAAGAAGAGCTTTAATAAATGTTATCACACAGAGGCAAGGTCAAGACGAAGAGGCCTTGGTGTTTATCAGAGAGGCAGGGTCCGTGCTCTTCAGAGAGGAGCCTGCAGGCAGACAAAGCAACTATACTCACACATTAGTTTAACATCATACTTTTACTGACAACCATCCATAACATTTATCTAAATTCCCCTGACAGTGTCTGAAATGTTTTAGTGAAAATAAAGTTAGTTCTCACACCGACAACCTCCGCCTGTGGTCTGACCTACAGGTGCCTTAAAACGTATTTAGACCTCATTAACTTTAATTGTCTTCACACTACAACCATAAACTTCATAGCATTGTTTTCTTTGTGTGTGTGTGTGTGTGTGTGTGTGTGTGTGTGTGTGTGTGTGTGT